CATCCTTTGATGGAACTTATTAAAACATCAGCATTGCTTGTCACCATTGATTTCTAATGAGAGCCGTGTGCAACTAGTGCATACGCAACTGTGACCTTTTCGGTGTATCAGAATTTGTTATGGATTTATCTCGAGATCCGTACAATTAGTTTTCCACTCTATCGTTACTATCAAAATAATGCAAGAGAATGTTTCAGCTGAACTCATGATGTCTATGTTTAATCTCTTCTCAAAATCAACAGTTATTTTCGAATACAATTTTTGGTAAAGCATTTCAACCTTATTCTTATGATTGTTTGCAATAGCGCAATCGTTGCATTACCAAAAGAGCGAATTTTCAGGGAACATATTGTTCTTGTTTTCTGCTTAATCCACACCTACCTTGGACTCCAGCTGATCATATTTGAAATCGCCTTCAGAAATCTTCGTCACTTCAATTTTTCCACTTTCATCACAAACCCTAGAACATCAGTTTGTGTAAGCAAGCTTATTTTTCTCTGTGATTTCATCCGGTCTTCTATCGTCTTCATCTCGCATTCAAAAAAGTAAAACATGTCACAAATTGTGAACTTTTTATCATCTCAGAACGAAGCGTTCATTTTTAGTGACAAAAATAGGCTCGATTAATCATACTGGTTGAGCACATTACATATTACAGATGCATCTAATGCGTTCAACTGAAAGCACTCCGTTATATGTCTCTTTTTCTGAAGGCCCATTCAAAGCAATAAATAAAACTGCCCAACACCTCCACAACGTGATCTGCTGTTTATTCGTTCTCCAGAAGTTCTCATCTGCTCCTCCAGCCTCCGCTGACTTCAGCTTGCTAACATTCTGCTTGCCGCCCATTATCTTCCAGAATGCATCGTTCTTATTCCAGTCAAGATCTGCGAATTCAGTATAACAGTTGTTTTACCCTTATAGTCATTATCTACTTCGTACTCATCAACAACTGCTATGAAGTGAATGATCGATTTTGGAGTCGAATGTGATGCACATCAAATGCTAATATTAGAAAAAGAAACTGCGCCAAATTTTGAGAAACCACTTAAACAGCTAATGTGGGGAATGATTAAGCAAACCTACCGAGCACATGCACTTTTGGTTTACCGTTGCGTTCTTCATCACGAATACTTTTTGCTTGTGACATTCCCTGAAATACCGATTGTACTGTTGAAAACATGCAATATTGATAACTTGTTATTGTTTTCTGGTTGGTTGAATGCTGGTGATGTTGTGCAATGGGCATCGGTTGCGTTAAGCTTTCGAAACGGATAAGAGTTGTGGTATGGGAGGAATTATGGTGCTTTCAACAGCATTTCATCAAAAGTTATGCGGTAGCTGTGAACAGAATTTTGAGGCACATTTTTTTCAGTTCAATTGGATCATTTCAAGTGAATTCAATGTCACCTTAATGCGTTCAAGTCGGCCACTCTCCGGTGGCATCCACACATAAAGGTCGAGTTCACAGTCCAAAATGAACACATCACCAAGATTTAGCGAATCATGCTCACAAGCCACCTTAACATTCCGGAATAAATTTTGCATTCGAATCATTCATATGGTCGATATAGCTGAGGTTCGGGAACTCCAGCGTAAGATGCTCTACGGGAACAAGTCAAAAATTAATTTGCTCTAATCATTTGATCAAGTGCTTGAAACTAAAGGAAGATCTTTTACAGCTCTTCATGGGTCACAGATTAATCGAGCTCTTCCATAACTATGAAAAGCATTTTCCTTTCATACTTTTTTCCAGCGTTAATTACATTTTATTCGTGCAATCGTTTATGCAAAAGAGCATGCAATTTCGCGATAATCATTCAATTGCATCGATGTTATGAATAAGGAGGATCCAAGGAACGAAGTATTCTCCTTCGATTGTCACTACCTGTGAGCATCGCACGTTTCGTTTCCCCTTGCATTGGTACAGTCGCGGTTTCGAGCTGTCCAATTTGTCGCCGCCAGAAAATCCTTGCATGTATCTGAACAAACAACGGATCACGAACCGTCATATTAATAGTGTATTTCTCAGCAGCTAGCTGAAATTCTTGTAGCGCTGTTCGTTTTGAATTTCAANATTGATTAGAGTGCAGAGCCGTTACATTAGTGTCAATAACAGACAAGAATGCAACTGAGAAAATAGAAATATTCAATGGCATCGATCAAGTGAAGGTTTACCTGATACCAAATTTAAAATACGATACAAAGATTGACGTTTCGTGATCTTGGTGCTGAAAAAATGTTGCTTCAAGTAATTTTGTCTCATTTCGTGATAACACCATCAATTGAATGAATTTAAAGCTTCAGAGATAGAAGATTTTTGACGATTTTATTTTTTTGTTTTAGACAATTTTCGTTTTGACGAACGCTCAAAAGTACATGAGTTCATTTCGTCACTTCAGAGCCTTCATAGAGTATGGTGCTGAATTGTTGGACAAATTAAATGATCTTATGACCTCTTGATATTGCACTGAAGAACCGTCTAATGCTTCGCCCAATTCGCTCGCCTTCGTAGCAGCAGCTTTTTTCTCATCCTGTAATGGTAACATTGAATTGATTTGATGAAACGCTTTCTTTTAAATTTCACTTTTAATTACTCTGCGATTGCAAACACAAAGCCTCATTCATCTCCAACTTTTGGATTGATTTCATTCCATTTCTCAAGTCAAAATTACTCACAAACTTCTTTCATTGTTTCGCGACAACAACTGTTTAATGCATCATTTGCAGTATTTTTTCCTAGTTATATCGAACACTCGCACTATGTCTAAATGAATTATTGCTTACAAGTTTTCTTAGATTGCACCACACTGTGTGTGATGAGTTTTTTCAGTGGATTTATGTTCTCAGCTAGCACTTCATTAATCAGTTAACACAGAGATTCCGTTAAAATTGTCATAAATCAGTAGTTGTTCATATCATCAGTCATGTTGACACAATACAATAACAGAAAAAGAAAGCCTACAACTGCGGTTTCTTTTCCAAGCCAAAAGTGGATATTCCATTTGCCCGGTTCAATCGTCTGAAATTGTGAACAGCTTTATTGACAGAATGAGCATTTAATTCATAAAATCTTTTCTCCTTTTTTTGCCTATTCCAAAAAATGTTCGATGTGCTGACAAG